GGGGGAGATTGTTAGCTCTCATCTTTTAATGTAAAAGTATCGAAAAAGTAACACAGCAAGGTTTGACAGAAGTCAATCTGTCAAAGAAGACCGTAGAGGACATTCAACAAGAAGCCCATCGTACAAGGTTCAGGTGACAGAGCTTCTGTCTCTATTCACAGAGACTCTGGAACTTGTCCTCTGAATAGGCCCTGTTTCAAGACAAAGACGACAGAACCTCTGTCGTGTCTCACAGAGGGTCTGTAGCTAGTCTTCTGTGCGGATCTCTTTTAACTCGTTTTTCTTAGGTTTATTAGTTGCTCATGCTGAACACGTGATCTTGTCTGTAATCTGCTTTATTTGAACGGCTTAGATTAAATAGTACGTCTAGGTCTGTCATAGCAGTTATTTGCTTGTATAAAAGCAGCTTTAGGCCTTTGTATTTCGTGTGGTGCTTCCATTTTGTAATTGTCGACATTTTCTATTGAAAATCCTTTGAAGCATTTTCTCCCTGTGTTCTTCAAGAGTTCTTCATTGTGTTCTTATTGATTGCTACCTGCTTGATTTACATACTGCACGCTGCATATTCAATGTCTATCTAATTAATCAAGTAAGTTTTCAATACCCTGAACTGAGTAATACGGTCCAAGATGTCGTTTCAAGAAAGGTATGACCGTATAAAAAATAATAAGATTCTTCTTGAGCGTGCTTTTGACCCAGAGTTGGTCAACTCACTTATGGCTATTAAGCATCACTTGATAGCCTTGCAATGGGAACACATGGTGATTGCCCCGCTCAAGGCCAATGTATCTTGGGTCACCAAATTCTATGCGGCTGTAGGAACCACAAAGAGTATTTCGGTGACGATTAGGGGAAAGAAAATTGATTGGTCTGGGCCAAAGCTCAATGCGGCCCTCTAACTTACTCCCCCACCGGAATGCTCTTTTGCCCAAATTATGAAGGGAACATTGGAAGTTTTTGATGATGATATTGCATCCACTCTTACGCTCCCCCGATCATGGATGGTCAAGGGACAATCGATGCCAAATTATTTTGGTCGGCCATCTAAACAAGGAGGCAGGCCTTTGGTTTCAATTCTTACGACACAACTTGATCCCCACTGTTCACGATAGTACGATTTCAAGGAACCGATGCGTCATACTTTATTGTATCATGAGGGAGTTGTCAATAGATCTTGGGCCGATTATTCATGCATCCATATTGGTGGCCTCTCAACGGACACATTCACGCTTAGTCTTCCCGGCCCTTATTACAAAACTCATGGTCGCGACTAAGGTTCCCACAAACGATGAGGATACAATTGTTTTCGACTCACCTTTTTTGGGCCAGAATACAGTCCGTCGAGAGAGAGCCTCTTGGCCCTTTTTGAATTTACAGGATCCGGTCCCGACGCAGAAAGTTCAACAAGAACCGGTGCGCCAATGCCGAATGTTCAACCGACTGAACCACCGGTTGTTGCTGTTTCTGAGCCGCCCGTTATCCCTATTTCTAAGCCGACTACTGTCCCAATGCCCGAGCCCTCGATGGACGTCCCGCATGTTGCAGCTGATGAGGCTAGCCCCTCCGAGCAGCCACCAAGCAATCCTTTGGCCTCGGGTTACGGGTCGGCCACGTGGCTTTCTGTTTTGGCAATCCAATGGAAGGAAGCAAACCAAAAGTTAGATGCAAAATTCAAGAAGGTGGGAAGTATGGAAGACCGAGTCTCGGACTTAGAGAAGAAAACAGCCCGCTTTTGGGCATATACACCAGACTGGAACCGTGTGGAACGGCAGCTTCATGGCCGTCAAGACGCCCTCTTGAGAGCCCAACTTCTGCGGTTTCCAAGTGGTCTATGCCCCCCATAGGTACGATGTTTCCCGCCCCTTCAAGCAACCATGCCGATCACTGCTTCTGTCGCTGCTCCTTTTGTTCCTGTTCCTCCTGCTGCTGTTGATACATCCACTGTGGCTGCCTCTGTTGATATGCTTGTTTTCCCTATTCCTGTTGCTCCCCCTGCTGTCCAAAGCTCCAAGGAAGCAGATGAGGCTACTGCTTGCCCACAGTAAGCAGTTTTGAAGATCATGGTTTAATTCTTGACTTTTCATCACTGCCTCTTAAACATTATTTTTGGTAAATCATTCTGGGGTACAGATACACTTTTTAATTCCGTCTTTTGTGTATGATTAACGGAATTGTAATTTCTTTTGTGTGAATATGATGACATGGTGTTGGATTTCCTTTTGTTTGTCTAGTCCATTATTCTTTTTCAGGTACAGCATCATTGGATGATTTTTAGTAGTGTTTTCGTTAAGAGGATGTAGGCCCTCCTTTGATTTTAAGCCTAATTCTCTTGCACCCAACCCGCACCTTTTTGGTCCATTTTGCTACAATGGGGACATTGTTGTTGTTAAGTTTGGGGGGTGTGTTAAAAAAAACTTATACCTTCGAAAAATTGGGAGGTATGAAAAAAAAATAGAGAGAAAAGAAAACAAAACAAAAAAGAAGAAACTGTCTTCAAAAAATTAGAAGACGAAAATAAAAAGTCCGATTATCCGAAAGGACAAGTTTATGCCAAGAAGAGGGTCACAAACTTTTTCTGATTACTCAAGAGTGAATCAATGAGAACTTTTGTTTCAAACCCTTTTGTAGTATAGGATAAGTTTGGGGGAGGGATACACGCTGCTATTGCCAAAAACACTAACCCTTAAGTCCTACTGATTTTAATGGACCGATTAGGCTTTAATGGACCGTATTCGATTTTAATGGACCGATTGGGCTTTAATGGATCGTATTAACCTTTAATGGAACGTATTGGGCTTTAATGGACCATATTGGGTTTTAATGGACCGATTGGGTTTTAATGGAACGCATTGTGTTTTAATAGACCGTATTGGGATTTTATGGATCATATTGGGCTTTAATTGGCCATATTGGACTTTAACGGTTCAATAATAATAATAATAATAATAATAATAATAATAATAATAATAATAATAATAATAATAATATAATAATAATAATAATAATAATAATAATTTAAAAATA